ATGCAGCTATCATGCCAGTGATTTCTCCTTTCGTCGCATAGTGAATAGTTTGTGAGCACATCCTCGACTCTCGAAACATTTGTCTTGCGCCGCTATAGAAGTTGCTTCTCCCGCGAACCATAGGTAGATTTCCCGCTTAACATAATGTTTGATAATTTATGCAAAAGTTGACCTCGTGAAAGTCAGCAGTGCATTAATCGACTCAAAAATAAACAGACTTCCTACAGGGTTTTGAACACGGTTTTAATTAAAGTACTTTACGAGCGCTGCGGTAGTTGACCGCAAAAGTGTTACGGTGATGGATACTCAACTGGATGATTACGTCACTTCATAGCAACCAGACGGTACGAATTTTTTAACTTCCGGAGCGCTGAGGCTCGTAGTGAAGCTGTGATAGAACTTACAACTTCAACTGAACCTTAGAGGTAGTTGGTTGTCTAGGTAGTTAGTTATATCTTATTTGTTATATAGAATTAACTTTTTATTATTGTACTGCAAGAAGTGCGTTTTAGGCAATGGATGTGTCTTGAATCGTATATGAAACCCTTTATAGACTTTATAACATGAGAAACGCATCTATTGTTTTGATTCACACGGATGAACCGAGGTAAACATTGAGATTGAAGAGAAACGTAATTAACTTGTTTCCCTTGGTGAAATATTACACACGAAGAAAAACCTTCTACGTGAACAAATTTTTGAAAGAAAACATCAGCAAGCGGTCACTGATTTCATACATTTTGCAATGGTGCCCACTCAGACACTTTTGGCGGGAAACAGTCTATTTCTATGCCCAGGTGTCATGTGACCTCCAGGTAACCAATGAGAGCGCGCGATCTTGGGCAGAACATTCCAGCTCTTTGATTAAGATATCATCCAGGGTAAAAAATTATCATTTTTCTAAATTTGCAATTTTTAGACGATTAAATAGAGCTCATCATGAGCTTTCTTTTAAAAAAAATTCCAGGAAAAAATGTTTTTTCTGTGCAGACCTATGGATTGCAAAAGTTTTTTCTATGCTAATTATTTTAATTGATCGTTGACAAGTCCTGTCATACTTGATACGCGTGCCGCTGTTGCACCAAGCTAATCACGCAATTTGACAAATCGTGGTTTACAAGTATTGTGCTCACTGTTTTTCCCTGGAGTTTGAAAGTGAATGCCTCCAAAGAAGAAAAAAGAGCTTGTCCGTTTTCGTCCTCGACTCCAAGACAATAGAAGACGACAAAATCGTTTTGCCGCCAAAGAGTGGGCTTCGAAATTAGCAGAGAGCGACAAGAACTCCGACTACAATCCTACTAAGAACTCCTACTACAATCAAGAAATCAATCCTGAAAACCCCAATGAAACTACCGCGGAATCGAGTCTTACGAGTTCGTTAGCGAGTGGGGCTAGCTTTTTAGGTCGCGAAACAGCCAAGCGAGAGACGAAGTCACCAGCGGTCCCGCGCCATATAAAAATCGGATGAAGTACTGTTTTGAAAGTCTATATTGTAGCTGGAAAGAAGCTTCAAGAAAAACTCCAGGAAGCGGTTTGTTGTCGATTTTTCCAGGGAAGTGTAGAACTTTTAAAAAATGTATCGAGTAAAAGTGGGCTTGGCTCAAATTGGCTTGTCCGGTGCGAAAGTGAAAACTGCTCGTTGCAAATAACTAACGAAGCTTTATCGACAACACAAAGGATCGAACAGAGGAGAGCCTTGAAATAAATTGTTCATCTGTTGTCGGGTTTCGTTTTCAACTCTTCCTGCTGTGTCACTATTGTTGTCCCTTCTCTGGTATGCATCAACATTGACAGCTTTGGTGTTATAATCTGTTATAATCTCATCACGGGTAATACGCCGCTAAAAATCTTTTTCCACTGTTTTC